TAAAATAAATAGATTTAAATCCTAACTGCTAGCAGTATCTTAGAATGTGATAGTCTTAAAGAACTATAATTACTGAAATTGTAATTAGTTAAAATAAGAGTATTGGTGTATGCAGTCCCTAATGCAGTGTAAGTGTTGTCTTCATACAAACACTGTGACAAGAAGATGGGGAGAGTATCCAGGGACACAAATGAAATGTCAGGTATTTTCACAATGCCAGGTACTTCACATGCTATCCAGGTATTACTTCTTAGATTAAGAGGGAATGAAGTCTTGTTAATACATTGATTTCAGACCTCTAGTCTCCAGAATGCTGAAATGGCATGGTCTGTCTTACAAATCACCCAGTTGTACACATTATTAAGTCTACTAATAACCTAGTGCACTTAAAAATAGAAAATTGGCAGAATTATAGAAATAAAGGCTTTCAAAGTGCACTCAGCCTTCAGTAATATGGGTTCTACTCCCAGAGATTCTACAAGTGTGCATTCAACTAACTTCATAGGAAAATTAGTTGTAAAGGGTTGTGTCTGTACTGAGTATGTAAAGATTCATATTCTTACTTATTCTCTGAACAATGAAGCACAGCAACTACTTACACAGTGCTTACATTAAAAATAACAGAATTTGTATGCTATGTATTTTAAGGAATCTAACAAGATGTTGAGTATAAAAGAGCATGTTTATAGGTATAACTAATGTCTGAATATTTAATGAAGCACTTTGCTTCCTCCCATTTTCTTTAGTTTGCTAGTTGGATGCTGACTGATTTGTGGATTCAGTTTGTCTGATGTCTGTTCTGGGAGGTGCACTGCTAAAACATATTCATGTCCCTTTATCTGTACATTGTAGTTGTTGCATCATATAGCGTCATAATCTAATAACTGCAGCAGATTCCTCAGGGCTTGTAAAACCTGAAGTCTTTACTGCCTAGCCTTTTAAAATGTAGTTTTTGGTGATATTCGAGATATTTATCAGTGTGACTATGGGACAAGGCCAGTTCAGGCACCCTCTTCTCTGCTGTTCAAGGATCTAGCAGGGGACATCTTCATGGACAGCTGGGATCCCCTCTAGAAGCAAGTCTTGCCTCTTCTTCTCTGCTCCTATATCCTCCCTTCCTCCATCTTAACCCTCCTACTCCCCCAAGCTCTCCCCAATCCTTTCTTTCTCCCTTCTCTCTCCCCCACTCCACTCCCCCCCACCCCCATGCTCTCAACTTTTGCCCAGCGATCTTGTCTTCTTCCAATCCAGGAGGATCTATATATGTTTTTCTTTGGGTTCACCTTATTATGTGGTTTCTCTAGGCTTGTGAACTATAGGCTCATTGTCCTTTGTTTATGGCTAGAGTTCACTAATGAGTGAGTACATACCATATTCATCTTTTTGGGTCTGGGTTATGTCAGTCAGGATAATGTTTTCTATTTTTATCATTTGCATACAAAATTCAAGATGTCAGAGTTTGTTTGTTTGTTTGTTTTTCCCACTGAGTAGTACTCTAATGTGTATATGTTCCACACTTTCTTTATCCATTCTTCCATTGAGGGGCATCTAGGTTGTTTCCAGGTTCCAGCTATTAAAACCTTCGTCCAGCAATGGATGGAGATAGAGACAGAGACCACATCAGAGCACGAGACTGAGCTCCCAAGGTCCAATTGAAGAGCAGAAGGATGGAGAACATGAGCAAGAAAATTAGGACTGCGAGGGGTTGGTCCACCCACTGAGACATGTAAATGTGGACGGGGTTGATGATTGCACAACCAGATCTTGTCTTGCTGTGTTTAAGATTTCAAGACCCAGAATGTTTACCTTATAATGATGCTATAAATGAGAGTGTGTGAGAGAGAGGGAGAAATAAATGCAAAAACATTTTGAAAAATTTAAAAATTTTTTCACCTGAGGGGAAGCCAATTTTTTTCAATTAGAGTGGTTCTGCCCTTCAGCACCTCCTCTCACATGATAGAGTAAAATCTAAGGCATATAAAACCCAAGCTTATTCCATCTCCACAGGGTAACTGGTAAAAATGACTATTGCAGGCTTATGTTTTTGAGAATGTTACCAAAATTATATTTCTTATCCTACTGTTTTTTGGTTATTCCAAAAAAATTCTGGTCAGTTTTACAAATAGCATAAATTTTGAAGTGCTGAAAGCAGGCAGTGGCCCTAATGTATAAATTTAGAACTGTGTTTATAGAATGTTTAAATTTCCTAAAACCTATTCAACTATTAGCTTTAGCAAAGATTTGAAACTTCATGCCTTTCAAATTTGTCATTTCTGAAGTAATACAGAGTATTTTCTGCCTAATCCCATGTTAGCATTCTCTCCAGTAAACATAAAAAATTGGAACTTTATGGAACATAATTTTATAACTTTATGAAATATAGGAATGCTTAATGCCTTAACACATTTAAATATGCAAAGACACAGTGGTACTGCTTACATGATTTTCTTTAGAAAACTTCTCATAAATAAGAAACAATATTGCAGGAACCTCTAAAACATGAAGGGGTTCTCTGAAGGGACAGGAGTCAGAACCCAGCTGGTTGCTCTCTCCTTTGCTTGCCATTTTAGTCTACCTGTTTGTGGGTTTGTAGTCTAGTTTTATACTTTCACTTCACACAGTTTTTGCTTATATCTCTAATGCATTGTAGCTGCAATATAGCTGCAATAATCTTCAAATTAAGTGATGTTCAACCAGGAGAAATGCATTGCACACCAGTGATTCTTATAATTTTGTATGTCTGTGATCTAGACCCATGATCTAGACCCATGGACTCTGTTTTCATATTCGTTTTAGTCACTTTACACTCATCAAGTTCAGAAAGTCTAACGTTTCAAAACAAACTCCAAACATACTTGAACATCACGTGTTCCTTCATGTCCTTCTTTTAAATTTCAGTACAAACAAATGAAAGAGGAAACCATTGTAATTGTCAAGGATGTTTTAGTATTTTTTTTTTGTTTCTTCCAAAGAAGAATATTGAAGGAAATTTAAACACACAAATACATACACACAAGCAACTGTTTCTTTATAACCCCTTTCCCAACCACTACCTCCCACAGTGCACAGGGAAGGAAAACAGAAAAAGAACAGGTTTAGTTCTCTTGGCAGGAGAATAGCCAGTACAGCAGAACTGCCGTCATTCTGCTAATACTTCATGTTGCTCTGGCATTTAAATATGCATGTCCCAGAATGCAAACAGATACGTGACATATTCATGTTGTTACTAAGAGAAATTTAGAAGGAGAGGGGGATGATAAGGGGGATGATAACACAATGTTACTTAATTACAAGATTCAAAAAAACTGGGTTATGCTTGTCTATCATCTGCAAATCAGTTGCTGGCACAATGATTTCAATGTAGTGGTGGTAAATACAATGAATCGGGGCAGATAGAGAGGATGATCTAAGAAGTCATGGACAGAGACACTGAAAACTTTCACTTGAAAGGACGTGGAAAATGAAAATGTGAAATTGAATTTCACTAGAGAAAATGTGCTTCCTTCTAAAGGAATTTATGTTGTCACAGCCATGTTCTATATCCCAAAAATCAGATCATTCCCTAACCAACCCTCGTCTACCCTCTTTTCCTTCTCTTCTTTCCACTACTAAAAACTTCTATTCTCTTCTTTTCCTCCTGACATGGGTATGTGTCTGCCTGAATTAGGTTGCTTAAATCTAGCATGTAATACATTTCTAAGAAATTTTACAAATAGTCATAATATTTTAAGACTAAAAAAAAATCCAGGTATTTCTTGTGTTTTAAAACAAATCAATTGTTTAAGGAAAATTCTGAGGTTGAGAAGCAGCTTTTAGGTTCCAAAAATGTAGTAAAATAATCCCTTCCAATTTCTGGGAGAATCTCAGTGTAATTCAATGCAGAAACTATAATGAATGACCATATTATAAATATTTAAAGTATTTTAAATATAAATTTCTGACTTAGTGATCTGATGTGCGCAAGCTATTTGATCAAGCAAAGGCATTTTGTTTTATTTGAATTAATGGTTCACATCACTGCTAAAGTCACTGGCGTTTTTAACCTTCATCAGCTAGAGCGGTAGAAAGGTACTGCTTTCTCAGTTGCTATGGGTAACAAGAAGACAATCAAAGGCATCATCCTAAATTGACTTTACATTGCAAAAAATTTACTGATCTAAAAATTTACTAAGAGGGAGACCAGCACATCTGCCCTATAGAAATGATTTTTGCATAGTAAGTGTTGATCTGCATAACCACATGATGGTTGCAAGTGCTGATTACCAAATCTGAATCATTACTTAGCAAAGCTCTATAAATACACATGGCACCATGTAATATATTCAGCTGTACTAAATTAATGACAAAGTCCTTACCCCAAGGAGCTTGGGGTCTAAAACCAAAGAATGGCACAAAACACAAATATGCAGAAAATACGGAGTTCAGGGAAAATTTTCAGAGAGATAGTTTCATTGGGATATTTTTACAGTTTGAAGCAAAGGATAAAGTAATGATCCACATAAAACTTACTTTCAGATTCTTCAAGCTACAAGGTGATCATGTCCAAGCGATCAAGAGGTCACTCACCATTTTATTCTCCCAACTTATATGAATTGTGTGTGTGTGATATTCAAATATGTACTAGTGGATTTAAAATACCATGATTTTCTTACATTTTTATTATTATGAAATCAGTGTATCAAAAACTGAGTTCTTTACCCCTTTATCTTGTACACATTTTTACAATCAGCTCTTGCCCTACATATATGCAATACTTTCTTTTAATGACCACTGAAGTCATTTGAGAGATTTATTTTTTATGCTCCTTGTCCTCCCTTACCAAACACCCAGTCCTGGAAATTAGCAAGGCAATAGCAAAGACTTCATTTTCATTTGTTCTTCATGGTTTCCATGAAAGGATTACTGCTGTTTCCAATCTGTTCACATTTTAATTTCTCACAGCAGTAACTTTGTGTTAGCTTATAATATTTCAATCAGTGGCTACATCTGTTTATTTTCTCTCTATCTTCTTTATTATTTTAGACCTAGACAAGAAGTATATATCTAAGAAACATTCCCAACACTCTGGAGAAATAAAATTTGTCTCATACGCATACAAACATTCAATTGGATTTGTCTTGTCTTGTGGATAGTATCTGGCTGTCTTCTCAGCAACAATTATCCCCTCGCACCAACCAGAGCATGGTCTTTATGTTTCTAAGAGAGGCAAGGTTTCTGTTCCTGTAGATAAGACATTATTGAAAAAATGATCAGGTAACCCAAACAAACCTATTATTCTTTAACTTGAGATTTGTTACCAAAGGATTAGGTTTTTCTTGTCCTTGGCCAGAGTCCTCATACTAACACCTGGAAATGCCTTCTTCCTTTCTTGTCCAGGAGAGAATTGAGCTCCAGGTCAGAGGCAACCTTGGAAAAAAAAAAAAAAAGACAGAACAAGACTTTTTTTTTTTGTCTCACTTTGTTTTGTTTTTAAGACAAAGTTTCACTTAATAGTTCAGACTGTTTGGAAGTCACAATAAACCTTTTACCCTATTCTCATAAGTATGAGAATGGCATGTATATACCACATCTGGCTATAGGATGCTAATTTTAAACAGATAATTTGAGTTTTCAGTCAAGGTGCTTCTACAATTTGACCCACACATGAGATACTCTAATATCAGAATTAACCACTTTTATTTTAAGAAATTTAGAACCTCTTGTTTTGAGATAGTTTTTATAGAGAATTCTATTACTGGATACTTGGATATCTCACTAATAAATTTCTTCTTTAGTAAAATATTTAAATTCTAAGAGGACAGCAGGTGGTATATACCTTCTACATTCCAGTTATGTTTATACAGGTATATTATGTTATCATTAATTTAAGCAAAGGCAATAAAATTGGTCAGGAATACTAAAAATAAGTATTCCTGTGAAAGAAATTAAATGATGTGACCTGAAGACCCTCTTCTCTCATGGCTCATTTTAAAAGACTAAAGTACTAAGTCAGGTACAGGGGCACATGTTGTAACCCCAGTACTCAGGATCGTGACCCAGCTCCATGCCAGATACAGCCGTACATACAATAATCCCAACATTTAAGAGAGGAACCTGATGCCCCTCTTCTCTTTCAGCCAAATTTAAATAATTAGAGCTTTATATCAGGCATGGGGTGGCATTATGCATATAAAGCAATCAGGAGAGTGACCTAGGCTCTATGTCAAACACAGGATATATACTGTAATCCCAGAACTCAGGATAGTTACAATTTCAGAAATGGCAAATTCTAGAACACCTGATCTATAGAGAGCTATTATATCTCAAGAAATAAAAATAAAAATGCAGCAACCTTTCAGAGTACAAGAGGAAAACTGACTGTGAGGCCAAATATCATGTACAAATTGATTTTCTAAGGCTGCCCCAATAACAATAAAATACATGAATTGTGTGAGTTACTTCCCACAGGTCAGGGAACCCTGATTGCTCTTCGGGCTGATGAGGGAGGGGGACTTGATTGGGGTAGGGGGGAGGGAACTGGGAGGCGGTGGCGGGGAGGAGGCAGAAATCTTTAATAAATAAATAAATTATAAAAATAAAAATTAAAATGATAAATGTTCCAAAGGAGGAAAAAAATAATGAATGTTTACTATCTCTCAGTTATAGAGGGTATAATTTCAAAACCAAGGTATCATGAGAACTGTCTCTTTTGAAGTATCTAAGGAAGAAATTGCCTTATTCCTTGCTTATGACTTCTTGCATGGTTTTTATATTTATGCCCATTTGAAAGCTATTCTTCAACCTAATTTCCAGTCTGCTAATGTTGGAAGGTAGAACCTGGGTGCTGAAAGTGGCTCTTTCCAGATAAAAATGGTGTCCTCTACAAATATCTAATGTACCAGGACGTTGCTTTTGCATTTCTTAGCCTGAAGAACTATGAGAGATAAATTTATATTTGTAAAAAATGTTTATTAAGAAGCACTTGTTCTATAAATGCCCTAATGGACTAAAACACTTGGGATGGTTTTACAGAAACCATTGATGTCTCTTTACCCCTGTATATTCATAATCTCATCTTACAAAGGTTTGAGTTACACTGAATTCGGACTCCACCTACTTCAACATTGTTTCACTTTAATTAAGTATATACAAATGCAATTGATCTATTTCAGAATTAAGACAAGTTATATTGTGTGGTACTCAAGGGTAGGAAATCATCATATTATTGTCTTTGTGGACAAAGGAAAAATAATTCATGGCAAATGATGATAACAGCTATTGCTTTCTGGGAAGAAGGATCATGGAACGTCTTGCTTTGCAGGGTGAAAGGAGCATGAGTACATGAGATCATTGCAGGCAGGTGAGCAAGGATGTCAGGGAGAAATCTAAAATTGAAGAAAAGCAAAGTGATACTGCTATTGTCTGCGAATAGGACCCAGATAGTGAAACACTGACTACTTCTAGCAAACAACTTTCCATCTATGATTGCCTCTCGTAGGTGAATGAAAAAAATCACCCCAATGGATAGTATCTAGCTTTCTCAGGCCAGAATTGATTGACACAAACGACAAGACCTGACTGGTGATGGGTGGTTTTATTTAATTTTGTTTATGAATCAATTAACTCTTTTAAAAAATTCACAGGAGAACAATACTGTGTGAATTTGTTTTTACTCTAATGGAAATTATCTGTTTAACAAGATGAGAGCATTATGTAATTTTGATGAATGAAATGTAACAATATATTCCTTGATTTCACGAGATTAAAATTGATCCTGAACACAACACAGATGTTCCAGGTGAAATGCAAAACCAAAGGTCTCTAACTCAGTCGAGGTACTGTCACAGAACAAATACGCAGAACTCATGTTTAGAGTCAGGCAGATTTTCTGTCCAAAGCAATCTCCATGGGGATAACAGCCATATGACCGCTTCTAAGTCACTAAAATCTTCTGAATATCAATTACCAAACATTATATAATCTTAAAAGATTTTTGTCATGATTGAATTTAGTAAATCCATACAAGCCATTTTGTCTGGCCCTTAGAGTTCAATAACTACTTTCATGAACATTATTAGGATGGCTGTGAGAATTTTTTGTTCAAAAGCATCCAAGTTAGAAATAGAGGTAGAAACATTAAAAAAAGCCTAAAATATGATGAGTAATTAGAGACATTATGTGGGCATGGCAGTTTATACCTGTAATCCTCAATTCTGAGAACTTAAGGCAGGTGAGTTAAGTCTCTCTAGACGAGGCTAAGTAGGTCACAGAGTGAAAGCCTATCTTAAAAGCAAAGAAACAAACACAAATATTAAAGATTTTATCAATTTTAAGAAATATTTTGTAAATACCATTGTTTATTTAGTTATGTAAGTTAATGTTTGACTTACATAACAAAAGGAAAATTCAGTTTCCTTTTGAAGATATAAGACTATTCTATTTACCAAAAGGCTTCTTTTTTATGATTTTCTGGAAACTTCTCTCTGCTATTGAAACACAATGGTGAAGAGATTCAGATGGGTCTGTAAAGCAGGCAGCTTCTAGGTCATTCATCACAGTAGCTGAAGGCGACTCTGCCTATAATCTTCATAACCAGGCAAGGCTTTTCTGAAGGTCAATGGCTGTTCTCTCTCTTTCCACTTCTGTTTCTCTTTCTGTTACTCTTCATGTGCAAAACTTCTAAAATTATCTTTTCTTCCTTTGCACAACATACATATATGTTCAGTTCATCCTTTACTATATATTGTCAAATAACTTACATGTACTGACAACCATCACACTTAACTCAGTGAATACCTTTGCCCCTTAGATCATTCCCTCCAGTTAGGGAAGTTGGAAGACTGATGTCTTAAGAATTCTAGTGCTGTGAAGAGACACAGTGACCATGTCAACTCTTTTTAGGAAACATTTAATTGGGCTGGCTCCCTTACAGTTTCAGAGATTCAGTCTGTTATCTTCATGGCGGGGACCATGGTAGCATGCAGACATGCAGGTACTGGCTACATCTTGACCAGAAGGCAACAGGAAGTAGACTGAGACATTGGGCAGTTGCTAGTATCATCAAAGGGTGCAACAGTTACACACTTCCTCTGCCTACACAATACCCACGCCAACAAAGTCATACCTCTTTATAGTGCCACTCCCTAAGCGATTATGGAACCAACTACATTCAAACTGCCACATTTCACTCTGGCCCCCATGACATTTTAGCAATGTCATAATGCAAACTGCATTTAGTTCAACTTCAAAAGTACACATACTCTATCATAATTTAAACAGTGTTTTAAAGTCTAAAGTTCAAAGTCTATTCTGAGATTCATGTAATCTTTTAACTGTAATCCTCTATAAAATAGATATTAAAAAGCAAATCATAAACATTTAACATTTCATGGCACAGGATACAAATTAGCATTCCAAAATGTAAAGAAAGGAGCCTAGTGAGGAAGGATTGGATCAAAGCAATACCAAAACCAGCTGGGCAAACTTCAAACTCTGCAGTTCCAACTACAATCAGCCTTGTTGACTGCAATATACTTCTTTCTCTTGGGCTGCTTCCACTCCCTGTTAGCAGCTCTCCTTGACAGATATTTGACCGGTCTGGCATATCTAGCATCTTAGGGTCTCCAAGGCAATCCAGGCTTCAACTTCCCTGCTTCACACAATAGCCTCTAGGCCTCCCTTTCTGGACTTGCATTACTCATGCCGGACCTCAGCAGCTTTCCTTAGTCTCAAGGGCAAATTCCATAGCCTCTTCTTCGACCCTTCACTCAGAACCATGTGACTCCTTATTCAGTTACATCATCACCAGCTTTCTTTCACTGCTGAAGCTTAAGTGTCCTAAAGTGTCCTCTGTAAACCAAGCTGGTCTCTATCTCAGATGTCTGCCAGCCTCTGCCTTCCAAATGCTGGGATTAAAGGTGTGCAACAGCACACCATGCTCTAAGCTGTTCTTTAATTCCTTTCCACAAGTTGGAAACTTAGCTGTGTGGGATCTTGCCCTGAGGTCACCACTCCCTTTATTTGATTTCTTCATCCATTTATGTCCTTGAACATAAAATTTAGCTCTATTCCACTTCCTGATGCCTTTTCTCAATTTTTACAATTTGTATTTTTATCTTCTCAGTTTGCTCCTTTTTATTGTAAGCCTTCATCAGAGTTAACACTAAAAACCACACAACAGAGTCTACTAAGCAATTTTGAGATTGCCTCTGAAAAGGGTCTTGTTCAAAAGCTCCTCATGTTAGCCTCAGGCAGATTCTTCAGACAAGAGCGAAATCCAGCCATCCTTCACCAAAATATTACAAGAACAGTCTCTAGCCAACATATTAATGTTCTTCTCCTCTGTAATCTTTTGAAACATCACCCCACAGTTCAAATAACACTTTGCATAACTGTCTTCAATGCTTTTACTAGTATGACCAATTAAA